GTTTTCATAAATCCATCTTAAACCAGCTCCAATTTCCCCAAGTAAGACTCAAAACATATGCCTAACTCATTTCGAATCAACTCATTTTATAGATAATGCACATACATATATTTTTGGATGACACACTTGATGCCCCCATAATCGTTCAAGTTATTCAAGCCCAACAAGAAAAGTCAAATCAAGTTGAGCACCCTCAATAAGTCTCACGGGTAGGAGTAGGAAGGAGCAGCCACTAAGATTCACAACCACGGCCAATCCAAGGCACAACAAGTAAAGCTCAAGACCAAGGTTGCCAAAAGGAACGGGGAAGCAAAGAGAATCAACCGAACTCCCAAACCAAGGCACACATCACCCCAAAACAGAATCTGGTGAAATCAAAGCTGAACCACACCGCAAGCTCAAACAGGGTTATCCAAAAGATAAGATCAAGCCCAACAAGGTCTAAAACCGCAACCATCAAATGGCCAAAATAGAACCACCACAATCCAAAACTGAGCCCAGCAAGGGCCAAAATAAAACCCAATAGTATTAAAATTCAGGCCTCCATAAATGATAGAGCTCTATTCATTTCAATCCAAAAAAATCGAGACTCAAAACCCAGCCAAAACCGAGCCCAACAAGAATCAAAAGTCAAAACAGAGCTCAACAAGATTAAAACAGGGCCCAAGTATTGATATAAATTCAGGGTTTAACGAAAATTAAAGTTCCTGCCACCTGTAGGTAAAACCGAGCCATCCAAAGCCAAGGAACAACCTGCATGTCTAAATATTTCAAGCATAAAACAATTCCAACAGATATTTGAACAAGGGAGATGCCTCATGAGGAGCTAAACCGAGCCCCATATGTGTATAAAAAGTAAAGTGAACTCTCTAGCATTCATTTTAAGTAAGAGCAAGTCATAAGATGCCAAAGCCGAAACTCCAACATGCATGAAAGGCCAAATAACCTCTCCAATATCTCATGCTAAATAAAAAATAGATGAAAAGCTTCATAATACATATCCCAACATGCTTACAAGAGAAGCTAAAATTATTTCAAAGCCACGTTTCAACCTTCCTGTTCAAAGTAATAGGAATATGCTATGATTTCATCTCAAGCTAATAGGAGAAAATAAGAACACTTATATCATGCTATGTTTGCACCGTCCTAAGCAATTAATCGAATCTCACCCTTGAAACATGCTCACATTTCATCCTTCACATGCTCTTACTCTTAAAGTGAATACCTCAAAAAGGAGGAAGAAGAGGTACCATCTTAATGCCAATGTAAAGCACTACAACACAAGAATTCACCTCAAGGAAATGCTCTCACAGAAATCCCAGATATTTCAAAATATACATGCAATACTAGACTAGCATGCTATATCGTCCACTGCACCGAGTTCAAGGGGCTCGACAGAGAGGAAACGGAAAAGAAGCAAGGCACATGGGGGGAGAATGTACCTCCTTGAAGCAAAAAACAACACAAAAATTTTAAAAGCACTTCGCAACTTCAACTCTTCCTCCAACAGTAATAGGAAGCCAACCCAACTACAAAAAACTAAAGAAGTAAGTGAGAAAAGAAAATGACAGAGTTTTCCCTTCCTAAGAGATTTTTCGGCTCCTTAAAATGCACCAAACAGAGCCTCATATAGACCAGAGAAGGAGAATGAATGATTAAGGGATCGCATATGACTCGAGAGATCGAGAGAGGCAGAGGATGAGATCCTCGCATTGGATATGATCTGCGGCAGAGAAGATCGAGCGCAAAACACAGAAGATAGGAGATGAGGGATGGGCTTCTGCAAGAATTGTCTTGCGTGCGAGAGGCGAACGCGGGAACGAATCCCTCCAATGACACGAAAAAGCGGGCCAGGCAACCAAACGAGCCAACCCTAAGCCCACGGGATCGAGACACAGAAGAGGGGAAGGAGAGAAAAATAAAATTAGGTTAGAGATTAATATAAGTTATTAATTATAATAATAATAATAATATAAAATATTATTTATTATTATAATTAACACTTAAATGTGTATTTTTTTCCCAGACGTGTTGTCATAGTGAAATAAACGCCTCCTTAAGCAAAATCGACGTTCCGGACGCGCCGGTGCAGTCCGTTTTGTCATTCGGGGTCGCTCGGACGACGTCATCGACAATCGGGTAAAAAACGCGTCAAAATTCAAATTTCACAAAATTTCGACCTGCAATCGATCGTCTCAAAAAGTTTACTCGAGTTTTCGACAGGTAACAGTGCAGGTGATGTGGATTGTAGCAATCGGGCGCGTCGACTCTCCGAATTGCAAAGATTTGTGCGCGCGGGAGTGCGAATTGTGCAGAAGGCCACCCTAAGGCTCAAATGGTCCTATAGGAATCCCTTTTGGGTTTCCTCATGTTGGTTTCACCCTTCTAAGTGCTAGAAGTCGATACCACACACGCGAAACTCCAAAAGGGTACGGAAGTGGTTTGGATTTCTAGAACAAGGTGGGCTCCATTTCTAAGGTTCTAAGATAGTCGAAGGGAGATCCCTAAGGCTAGATTCTAAACCCTAAGAGGAAGACTAGACCTCACCAAAAATGAGGTCAACAGCGCCAGGTTCTCAATCTTTCCTGGGTGCTTTGGCTTCACAAGGCTAACAAAATGCTAGTACTTATTCATATGATGATTTAAATGCATATTACTTCTACTCTTGAAATTGCCATCATACAACTGTAATTAACCACTAAGTTATAATAAAACTTACCCCATTATCTAATATTCATTTTTCATTAAAGACTCCAATTCAAGTTAGATGGGCAAATGAAGTGAATTTTTTAAGAGCTAAAGAGTAACTACTGACGATAGGTATTAAAAAAACTACTATTTTGCATCTTCTTTTTAAGATGCATTGCTGTCAAATATATACGATAGAAATAATTTAGATTTTGACTTGCACATGAACAAAGTTGCATTGTTTAGTGGCCTTTTGATTTTGGAAGAAATTATTGTTGGACAATTTAATAAAAAAACATAAAATTACTCTCTGACTGTCTTACTTTTGACAAAATATATGCTTTGTTTTGACCCGAAAGAAAATCAAAGCAAAAAATAAAACAAGATGAAATTATAATGGAGACAGATAGAACCAAACACAGCTTTAAAAATCATAATTTCAAAAAATAACAATTCAATAATACATTTATTCACGTTCAAACATAGTTAAATATTCTTTATAACATACTTTAAAGAAGTTATAAATCAAAAAATAAAAGTTAAAAGTGCACTATATACTCATAATTATGTTATGAAAGTTCTCATCCATGAACAATTCCTACATAAATGAAAGGTCAAAGATCGTTGATCACCTTTGCAACACTTACTGTCTGTTGTTCCATTGCTTCATGAATTGTAGCTCTATCATGCACTCTCATACTACAAATATAAATAAAACTGTTACACTCACAAGTTGCAAGCAGAGCTTACTGATGCTCCATCAAAAAGAAAAAGATGATAAGAAGAAAGGAAACAATGTTCAGGACTTGTCTATTTGTCTACAGCACAATATCTAGCCGAAAATAATTGAAGTTGCATTTATATAACTAGAGCACAATTTTTATGTCTTTTCACATCTCATACCTAAACATTCATATTTACACACATAGCACGCAAATCGTTAATATCAAATAAAAAATAGCACTATTCTTATTTTTTAAAATTCAAATACACCTTTCAAGGATAAGTTTAAAGCACCAAAGTGCTACGTGTGTCAATATGGATATTTAGGGGTGAGATATGTAAATACATAAGAATTGTGTGTTATGTATGTAAATTTCTTTAAATTGAATTTACAAGTGAATAGTTTAATTGAATATTAACAAATTAAAGAGTCATCCACAGCAGGCACTAATGAAATATTGTGTTAAGCAAATATATAACAAATCAACATGCCCATTATTTATGAATTAACAAGAAATCATACAAGCACAAATAAGAATTCAAAGAAGCATGCTCCTTGTAGACCACATAAACCCGTTGGTGTTATGAACTAGTTTTAATGGTACAAATATATAATTGAAGGCGTTAATGTTTTAAATTAAGCAATTATATGATTGATAAGAGGATTGATAAGGTACAAGGATTATTAAGAATATATTGACCAAATTGGAGAGATGTGATCGAGTCCTGTATTTTTTGTTCATACTCATGTAATTGCATATCAATCAAGGTCAGAGCTCTTCATTTAACATTGTATATATTAAATTAAAAAATCTTTTCTTACAATCACAAAATAATCATTTAGATGGAATAGCATTGAGCTTAGAACCTAGAAATCCACATTGTAAGACTCCATCTTTTTCATTTCAAATCCTTCCAACTCAAGTTTTCTAAGCAAAATCAGTTGAAGAAAAAGAGCAAGAGTCAAAATGTTTTGCATTTATTGCAAGGGCTCCACAAGTAAAGTCTGTCTTCAACGGAGTGCTATAAAAAAGTTCATTTTTTGTTTTCATTGGCAGAATTGTAGGACTAGTCTATCACACTATAAATATAACATGAGTTGAGCAGTACTCCCTCATTTAGAAGAGTGCTTGAGACAGTTTCTCTACTTGCTTGACTAGTGGAGTTTGATAGAGGTAGCCAGTGGTATTGAGATCCTAAAGCCGGTGAGAATTAAAAGTGATATGTGCTGATTTGGGCAGAAAAAATGTAAGAACCTTTCTCAGTTTCTTCTTGTTTTACTTGTACTTTATTTGTGTTGTGATTATTTTTATCACTCTCACGCACTTGGAATTTTAAATACAAACATTTTTTAATAGTAGTATAAATATAAATATAACTCAAAGGCTTAGATTTGATTTCGAAAACTAAATGTCAAAATTTTATTTAAGAAGAGTCATAAGTCACTTTTTAATAGTAGTAGAAATTATCATTTAGGTTGATGGTTGAATAAAACATAAGCAAGCACGGTAAAAAGAAAGAAGAGGTATTTACATACATAACACACAATTCTTATGTATTTACATATCTAACACTTAATATTAATATTTACATGCATACAACTAAAATTTTTAACATAACATCAAAATTACCACCATACTACTTTTTAAAAGTGAAATACACCTTTTCATGCATAGATCATAAGTGTAAATATCAAGCTTTGAATGTTATGTAAATACATAAGAATTGTTTGGTATGTATGTAAATTTCCCAAAGGAAAAAAAAAAATTTTGAAGTTAATGATGAGATATTTATGCCATGAGCTTCATTATAATAACAAGTAATAAAAAATTATCAATCAAAATTCATTCCCAGCATTATGAATTTTAAAAAAAAAAAGGAGAGCAAGCATCTGCAGTTTTTGCGATTCAAGCAAAAAAACAATTTACGAATAGTAGCATCATTGTAGAACCTGTCAAATTCATCTATACAGCAGAGTCCACCATCAGCCAGAACAAGCGCCCCAGCCTCCAGCACCCATTCTCCTGCCATTTAACAATTTTATAGGACATTACAAATAAATTATCAAATAACTTACTGGATATAGAAAATATTAAAGGATAAATTACTATAATAATACCAAAAATAGTCAAACATTTGGAGTCAGTTTCTAAGTCATTTTTGCCAAATATTCCAATTTAGGCACGCATCAGGTGTTGAGCAACATCAAAACACACTAGTTGAGCCCTTCCGATGTTTTATACCTAAATTGAATGAGACGCATCAACAAAACCATATATAAGATGATTTTGAAATATTTACAAACTTTTTTTATATGTTTTTCTTCAGATTTCTTGAGATTCTGTAGAAATGCATCTGCAATCATTTTAAATGGAATATCTCGGCACCAATTTTGAAGAGAGGGAGAAATAGATATATAGATAGAAAGTAGGAGAGAGATTAAAAATAAAAGAGAAAAGAAAGAAAATAATTGAAAAAAAAAAAAGAGAACAAAAGAAAACAAACAAAACCGGTAAATAGAGAGTTGAAAAAAGAGAGACAGAGACCCATTTCCCTTATTAAAAAGAATGGTAATTGCGTTCTCCAAAAGGAGAGCCTACTTACTCCATATTTGAATTCTTAAGAAGAATTATATGTCTAAATATCTTCTCCTATTGCATCACTACAAGAAGATACATCAATATTAGACCTACAAACCATCAAGCAAGTGCCGTTAGATGCTTTTTGCATCACTACAAGAAGATACATCAATATTAGAACTACAAACCATCAAGCAAGTGCCGTTAGATGCTTTTACACTTTGGACAAAACCTAATGCTGGTCCAAATTGGCGTTTTGTTAAATGATTGTTTTACAATTCTCTCTCTCTCTCTCTCTCTCTCTCTCTCTCTCTCTATGCATATAAAACATAAAAGAAATACTTGAATCTTGTACAATTACATAAGTGTTGGAGTTGGACCAGGCTCTACAATCAAACAAAACCAAGGATTAGAAAAACGTACATTTTTAAAAGCACGTTTGGGATGCATGTATATAAGTTTAAAAAATAAATAAATAAATAAATAACTCTTTTCTCTTTTTAAATTTAAAATAATCTGTGATGCAAATTTCAAACATGTAATAAAATATAACAATAGGTCCTAAGTGCAATTAACAAACTAACTTTTCCGATATAGAGTAAGTTAAAAGGTCAAATAAAAGAAAAATTACAAATAAAAAATTTTTGAAGAGAATCGGTGTTAGATAATTAAACGTATAAAGAAAAATTAAATAACCTCCATCCTTGACAGCTGTGACTGTTAAACCTGCACTGGTGCTCCCCAACCCAGTGGTGATCACAGATCTATGGCATAATTTAGCAGCAAACTTTAGAAACTGAGATTTACCTGTGCCTGAGTAATTTTATGATAACAAGAATGAGATAGCATTCGGTTAAAGTAAACATTAATCTAAGAAATAATTATCAAAAACTGATAATTTAATACATAATGATGAAACAAACTAGAGAGTCAATCACGACTAAATAATATGAATTGCAACAAGAGCTAAAATCTTAAAGAATCAATCATCATATAAAAGGATGAAATGTGTTCACCAAAAAACTAGGGCAAATACTTGCTTGTGTTTAGTTAGCTTTCAATTAGCCTAATTAAGATAACTACACGGAAATAGGTTCAATTATTATTCCTGACTAAAAATAATTCCCATTTAGTTTAATTTTAGGCCAAATAAACCAAACTAATGTTCCAATTAATGACTCAATCAGCAGATCATAATTAGTTGCATTAATTTCTAATCAATTTGGGCAGCTGTCTAAATTTGTTTAGATGCTAAATGAATCAACCTCTCCAAGTTAGCATCAATTCTCATAATGCTTTAATTATTTACCAAATATGTAAAAGACAAAAGAGATTGATTGACAATAAAACCAATTAAAATGTTTCAGTTGTCAAAACCATCAACTGCGCTCTAAAGATCATCAACAACCCATCTATTATTAGGCCATTCTCGAGAATCCGCACTTAGAAAAATGAGTGTATTTTCCATCATCAGTGGAGTCACTTTCTCTGTCAAGAGACGAAACTAAAAGATATTATAACTTTCTATAAACTACCTGGATCACCAACAAGAAGAAGGTGAGACTCCCCACGAATCTTTGTCCCAGAGCCATCAACATGCTGGACACCTCCAATTAATGTTAAGGCCACTGCAAACAAGAAATTCAATTAATCTCACCTACGTATGAGTCACAAAAACTAATATAATATATATATATATATATATTAGGCATACAATAATTAAAAATATGCAATATTAAAACAGCAATTTCAGCAACTCTCAATTGAAATTCCAAATTACTTTATATATTTCATTTAGATAATACTATAACGTATCCATATAAATTCTGCATACCTGCAAGCTTCACAGTGAAGAGACCAAAAACTTGTGGGCAAATCCCTTGAAGAATAGCATTCCT